CCTGGAAGTCATCTCAAATGTCACTGTTCCCTGAGAATAAACCTCATTTCTTATGAACTCACATTTGATTAACAGGCATCACGATATGGCTCTCATCTTCATCTCTGACTGCAACACATCGCTCTAAGAAATGATTTCTAAATGTTCCTTGGCAACTGTGTAACAAGAACAGCTGGAATTATCACGGCATCCCGTTTAAGCTAATTCAAAGCGAATTCGTTGAAATTTCCATTTAAATGATTATCACAGCTCCCGTTTGGAGGACCACAGCTGTCTCCTCCTCAAACTCCCACACTCTTATTTTATTGAGCACAGATGCTGATCTGACCATTCGCTGCATCTAATGTGACTCACGGTTTGAAAATGGCTGCACAGAGACTGTGTGGTAAATGATGGCCTTGTCTTTAATTCTCTCTGGAAGTCTGTTCTTAGACCACAAAGAGATTTACTGCATATGGATCAAAAACACGTATTGTGTCTGAGATACTGTATGTTCCGGTCTGGTGTTTTAGGAGACTCAAGAGACAACAGAGACGGACAATAGAGCTGTCATGTCTTGTTGGGATGGTAATTGAGTGCAGATCAGCACTGGCGGCACTGGACTGTCAGATCATTTCTGAACAAAATTCTCTCATCATTTACTCTGCCCTAATGTCAGTGCAAACCCATACGACTATTGTTCTTCAGTGGAACAGAAAATAAGTTTTGAAAAATGTCTGAGCTGCTCTGTTCTCTGTACAATAACAGGAGTCACAAAAATATGTTCCAAAAATGTTTTGCTAACATTCCTGTTAAATTTATTGGTTACACTTTATTTAAAAGGGTAATGAACTGAGAAATTAAAATTCCCTTGATCTTTTGATATATAAGAGGTCATTGTGCTATAAAAACATTTCAGAACTCAAACGTTTGTCATTAGTCTAGAAACAGCTTATTTTAAAGGCAGTCTGCCAAAACGACAGCTTGTGGAATGTTCTACTCTATGATGTAATAATGTGGCTAAACACCGCCTCCAACGACTGCTTCTACATCACTGCCTGTTCAACCCCGCCCACCGATTCGACATCACTGCCTGTTTAGCCCTGTCCACCGTTTCTCGAATGTAGTAGGTAAATGATAAGAGCGGCAAATGCAGTTCTACACAGAAACCAAATGATAAACTTTATTTGATGAACTTGGTCCTTTGTTCACTCATTTTATCGCAGATTCGTTTGCAAACAATTCGACGCAGGATTTTAAGAAAGTTTAAAACTGAAAGACGATGCTGTGCCGACTACATTGGATCTGACAGTAATGTCGCAACACAAGTTTGAGTAACTGTTTTCAATACGTGGTCCCTATTGCTTTGTCTGTAATTACAGATCGTTTGATATGTACTAAGTATTTTTGCTTTTTTAACCTAAAACAGCAGTGTCCATCTGTGAGGAATGTAAGCTGTCAAACATGCACAATTGTTAGTCAATCATAGCAGTGGGTATTTACTTCCGAGTCTACAATCCGCCACGCCTATTCAAACGGAGCGTTCTGATGAGGGGGGTTAAAAACAGGACAGAAAATAGATGATGTAAAAATCTTGATAACATAATAAGTGGACCTCAGAGAACAGTACAAAATAGAAAACAAAAGCAGTTCATGACCCTTTAAGGTCCAATTCTAACTATGACTTTGTCTCAATAAACTCCTAATCTGCTGCTTATTAATAGCTAGTAAGATAGTTTGTTAAGTGTGGGTATGGGGTAGGATTAAGAATCTAAAATATGGTCATGTAGAATGTGCTTTATACAGTGACAGTGCTACACCGGGGCTAGGGGGGGCTATAGCCCCGTCAGAATTTTGAATAGAATCATTTTTTTTCAGTTCTCCTTGCGCCTGAATTGTCAAATCCACACAGTTGTCAAAATGTCAATCGTGTGGACTATCTTACATAAATACAGTTGGTTATGGCTTAAATGATACAGGTGGGCGAAAACTGGATATGTGTCAGTATACATTCATTCGGGTGATTTCAAAAAGGGATCAAACAACAAAATATGTTAAATAAATTTATATATGTTAAATAATCCAACTGTAGGCTATTTGAAAAATGAGTGCATTTCATTTGTAGCTCTATCGCACCTTACTGGCCCACTCGGACCTGGTTCCCGGAACTAATGCTCCTCGTGACAGCCCCTCCCTGGCAGATTCCTCTGAGGAAGGATCTACTGACTCAAAGACGGGGCACTCTGTGGCACCCGCGTCCAGACCTCTGGAAACTTCATGTCTGGTCCCTGGAGGTTCTAGGTGACCTACCCCAGGAGGTAGTTGACACCATCACTTCTGCGAGAGCACCGTCTACAAGACACGCTTACGCCTTGAAGTGGAACCTGTTCTTCGAGTGGTGTTCTTCTCATCGAGAAGACCCCCGAAGATGCCTGATCAGAGTCGTGCTGTCCTTTTTTCAGCAGTGGTTGGAGCGAAGGCTGTCTCCCTCCACCCTTAAAGTCTATGTTGCTGCGATTGCTGCTAACCATGACCCTGTGGAAGGGAAGTCAGTAGGGAAGCATGACCTGGCCATCAGGTTCCTTAGGGGGGCCAGAAGGTTATATCCTCCCTGGCCCCCCTCTATACCCTCTTGGGACCTGTCTCTAGTGCTCAAAGCACTACAGCAGGGCCCATTTGAGCCTTTGCAGTCAGTTGAGCAGAAGTTTCTATCAATAAAAACTCTGTTCCTGTTTGCACTGGCCTACAACAAGAGGGTAGGGGACCTGCACGCATTTTCGGTCGACGAATCATGCCTAGAGTTTGGGCTGGCTGACTCCCAGGTAATCCTGAGGCCCCAGCCCGGCTATGTGCCCAAGGTTCCCACTACTCCCTTCAGGGATCAGGTGGTGAGCCTGCAAGCGCTGCCCCCGGGGGAGGCAGACCCAGCCCTAGCTTTGCTTTGTCCTGTTGAGCCTTATAAGATGGTACGTAGACCGGACACAAAGCTTCAGGACCTCAGATCATTTTCGGTCGACGAATCATGCCTAGAGTTTGGGCTGGCTGACTCCCAGGTAATCCTGAGGCCCCAGCCCGGCTATGTGCCCAAGGTTCCCACTACTCCCTTCAGGGATCAGGTGGTGAGCCTGCAAGCGCTGCCTCCGGGGGAGGCAGACCCAGCCCTAGCTTTGCTTTGTCCTGTTGAGCCTTAAGATGGTACATAGACCGGACACAAAGCTTCAGGACCTCAGATCAGCTCTTTGTCTGTTATGGAGGCCGGCAGAAGGGGAAGGCCATCTCCAAGCAGAGGATGGCCCATTGGATAGTGGATGCCATCACCCTGGCTTATCAGGCATATGGCCTGCCCGTTCAGGTTGCGAGCACACTCTGCTAGAAGTGTTGCATCCTCCAGGAGTGTTGCCTCCTGGCTCGTGGCACCTCGCTGACAGATATTTGAGAGCTATGGGCTGGGCAACCCCCAACACGTTCGCTAGAGGAAATGTATCAGCACATTTTTTTCCATTAGAATATACAGAAAGATTTAGGCTATTGCATTCTTTTTCATCACTTTGAGGGCTTTTGTATAAGAAATAAACTCATTATAAAATGCACAAAATGTTGGTTTCACTTTCAAGTACTTAGATTTGTGTATATAAAATTTTCCCAGCAGAAGTATGTTGTTAACAAGGAAGTCATCTTTGTTATTGTGTGTTCGGGGAGGAATTTATGGACCACATATCAGCGGGATCTTGCATTATTTCCTTATCACTTCTCGCGTGCGTTTGGTTGTGAAATGTAGTTTGCGGACCAGACAGAGTTGTCGGCGATTCTTCCTATTGTAAAGTCATGCAGTGTGTAACCTCCTGTCGCCGATCCATCGTGCAATGTGTACGCAGCAGCAACTGAATGCTACCCCAGATAGTCGTGCAGTGTGAAAACAACGTTGATCCGATGACTTTGAAAATCATGCAGTGTGAACTCGACATAAGCGAGATCCCAATTCGTCGGTCATTACCGACGTGACGTCTCTGTTCCCTCCTTCAGGGAACGAGGGTTACATACGTAACCGAGACATTTCTTGTGGTTAATACTGGTGTAATCCATATGGTGTATAGGGGAGAGTGGGGTAAGATGAGCCACTTTTTACTTATGTGGTCCTCAAGATAAGGGAAAGTGACGCAGACGTACAATCAAAGTATCTAAAGTAACTTCAGGATGTTTCCTATCATTTTAAATTATCAGAATGTATCTATGACAAAGGGTTCTAAAAATATGGCTTCTTATAAAAAAGTGTTCCTGTGGCTCAGTTTGCCCCAGGGTGGGGGTAATTTGACCCGAGTCAGTGGGTAGGATGAACCATCTGGTTGTAAACTGACCATCTGACTGAATCTGGTTCAAACCCATGTTAAATTTGAAAGATAATTTACCTCTTTTAAAAACGAATTTAATAATCAAATTTCCTTTTTCAAACAGTCTTATTTCTTTTCTTAAAGCTAATGTAAACAACATAAAACCAACCAAATGAAAATCTTTAATTGTTTGCATTTCTGAAACAATATGTTTAACACCAAAGTTGTAATCTTCCCAAAAACAGACTAAACAGAGAGTTTGTTGAGTAAAATTAAAATAAAAAACTGAATTAGAATGAAGGAATAAATGTCACTGAAACTAATGAACAATTTAGTCAAAAGATTCTTGGCATGGTAGCTTTTCTGCAATGTCGAACAGGCCATTAGGGACTACAGGTGGAAAGATATATCTGATTATAATGTGATGAAAAGCATCTTCTGGTTCTTATCAGATATGGATTTGGTGCACTTGTACACTGTCCCTATCAAATAAACTACAAATAATAATATGTATATATGATAAACTAAATCAGTTGTGTACTATCACATTAAACTACCAGTTTATACTTCAGAGATTTAACTTAACTTCAGTGTGTTATGGTAGGGTAAGATAAAATGCTGGCTCACTTTGCCCCATAGCTGCCATTTGGGGAAAAAACTAGCTTGCTTACTAATTCAGGCTACTAATTGAACACTGGGTGTATTACAACTTTAGAATTGTAATATTTATTTGGTTCTGCACTTTTTCTTGCCACAGAATTACAATCGTATCGACTGAAATGTGAAGAAGCTTTTTGCACAGTGGTGGCCACTAGCGGAGTGAACTGTGAACAGCGATAAGGTATAGCTAAGAAGGGTCCAGACTAACCTTACGAACGAATGACTTACGGAAGGTATACTTAACTAAGAACGTTTCGGGAAACACGTATTAACGTAAAGGTACAACTTAAGGTACAACTTAAGGTATAACTTACGAACGACGTAGCGTTAAGAAGGTTTCGGGAAACGCAGCCTTGGACTCTTTGAAAGTTTAGAGAACATTCAGTAATTTATGACTCATTGTGACCTTTAGCAAAACGTTCTTAGAACATAAAGCCGGATGTACAGTATATGTGCTTAGTCCGCTGTCTATATACCGTAACACTATTTTCAGAATTTTCATTGTGATTGCATGGACAACAGTACATATGCGAGGGATCTAACCATTTGAAAAGAAAGTGGCATGTACGTGTCTATCTACACTCATGGTCAAAGGAGTAGGGGAGAGTGGGGTAAGATGAGCCACATGTGGTCCTCGTGGTCCTCAAGATAAGGGAAAATGACGCAGAAGTACAATCAAAGTATCTAAAGTAACTTTCCTATCATTCAAAGGGTTCTAAAAATATGGCTTCTTATAAAAAAGTGTTCCTGTGGCTCAGTTTGCCCCAGGGTGGGGGTAAGTTGACCCGAGTCAGTGGGTAAGATGAACCATCTGGTTGTAAACTGACCATCTGACTGAATCTGGTTCAAACCCATGCTAAATTTGAAAGATCATTTACCTCTTTTAAAAACTAACAAATTTTTCAAATTTTTTTCAAACTTTTTCAAACCTTTTTCAAACAGTCTTATTTCTTTTCTTAAAACCAACATAAAACACATAAAACCAACCAAATGAAAATGTCAATCTTTAATTGTTTGCATTTCTGAAACAATATGTTTAACACCAAAGTTGTAATCTTCCCAAAAACAGACTAAACAGAGAGTTTGTTGAGTAAAATAAAAATAAAAACTGAATTAGAATGAAGGAATAAATGTCACTGAAACTAATGAACAATCTAGTCAAAAGATTCTTGGCATGGTAGCTTTTTTGCAATGTCGAACAGGCCATTAGGGACTGCAGGTGGAAAGATATATCTGATTATAATGTGATGAAAAGCATCTTCTGGTTCTTATCAGATATGGATTTGGTGCACTTGTACACTGTCCCTATCAAATAAACTACAAATAATAATATGTATATATAATAAACTAAATCAGTTGTGTACTATCACATTAAACTACCAGTTTATACTTCAGAGATTTAACTTAACTTCAGTGCCTTATGGTAGGGTAAGATAAAATGCTGGCTCACTTTGCCCCATAGCTGCCATTTTGCAAAAAAACTAGTTTGCTTACTAATTCAAGCTAATATTTAGCTAAATGATTTACATGGTTTTATACATTGCTAAATCACTTATATGCATCATAAATATTTTTAGACCTGGATAAATTTACTTTGATGTAACAGCCATTACATATGTTATGCTAAAATTTTACTTTGAGAAGCCAAAAACAGTTTTTAAAGTAACTGGGTGCCTTCCACTCCTCTCGTGTGTTTCTTCTTTTCACAGTCTGGCAGAAATTATGGGTGGTTTCAAAATATATGGTCACATGACA